TTTTTGCATGTTATCACTGTGCCCGTTTTTTGCTTTTATTCTTTGTTCCGCAAAGTGCGCTCTTTTAGTTTGTAGTGATGTGACAATATATATATATATTTTAACAGGTGCTTATGGTCCTGGCTCCATATCCATTCTGGGGACCGTCAGTTCGATTCCTATTCCCCCCGGCAAGTCAAAAGAATACATCATATTACCCAGTCAACGCTTCCTTCCGTCTGGACGAAGGAACCCTGACCAGCATTGATTACTCCTGAGGAGGATTGATTGTGACCACTTGTTCCTCTCAGGCTTCTACTCAGAACCTGTCGAATGAGTCCCTGCAATACGAGGAGAGTGGGGAGGTCCGCTCCGTGTTCTGTTGCTTGTCCTTGGCGTTCATTGTGTGTCCGGTTTGCCTTGTGGTTGATCCCCATTCGGGGTCTTCTGCCAAGTCACCCGGCAGGAGACCTTATAGTCTTCATGCTTGTACCTGGTGCCATTTCTTCCACCTTAACCTGTTAACTATCGTCGCCACCTTGCCCTTTAGCAGCCAGTTCCTCATGAAGGTCTGTTTCTTGGTTGCTTGTCCTTCTGGTCTGTGTTTGATAGAGTTGACTGTTCTCCGCCATCTGCTCCTGATTTCCGTCTTTGCCATGCTTAGCAGTAATGACCATATTTCTTCCCTAGCCTCCTCTGCACCCTCGATTGTCTGAGTGCATGTGTTTCCATATCACCCATAGTGCCAGCTTCCTGAGCAGGGTAAACCGTACTTCCCTGCTGCCTGTGATGTTGCTGGGGATGTTAGTTAGGAGTAGGATAGAGAGAGGGGGAATGCCAAGGGGGTCCGATGCAAACAGGATCGACCACAGCTCGCGGACCTCCTTCCATATCCATGTCGCTTCTGAGCAGAAGAGGAGGCAGTGGGGGATGTTTTCGGGAAAGTTGTTGCTGCACATTGAGCAGCATTCCGAGCTATCAGGGTTGGAATGTTTCCTTCTAACATGTAGCCATTGGTTGACGAGAAGGGCTGCATGTGCTATTAGTCATTGCAAGCTGCAGATTCTGATTGGTCTGACGAGAAGGTTTTTGGTCCATGGGATGGTGATGGGGATCGTGTCATCGAGGTTCAATATGGTTCTCCATTTCTCTGACAGCCTTGGATTCGGGTCCCTGGTTTGAACTTTACGTCGTATTCTGTTATCGTCCTCGATTTCCCGGTGGCGCCCAGATCCCATATCCATTCCTTTGGGTCGAATTCCAGCTCTGTGATGCTGAGTTCCGGCTGGAAGATGATCCCTGGTTTCCTGTGAGAGACTCTAACCTTCCTGAGAAGGTAGGTTTCTATTTGTTCGTTCTGTTGTGTTCTGTTTAGGACCTCTAGTTCGTATATGCTGTGTTTGATGATGGGGTAGGATATGAACTTGGCCTGGTAGTTAGTCGGGTCCGGTTTGGACACAAAGCGGTAGGCTCTTGTTGGTGGGGTCTGTGTGGTGAGTAGTCCCCAGTCTCCTGGTTTCCACGTGTGTGGCTCTTTTAGGAGGGTCGTCCATGGGGGAGGAATGCTTTGAAGGATTTCTGACAGTTTGGCGGTCAGTAGGTGGCATCCTTTTAAGGATGTGCGGAGGTCCTGTTTGGTTAGCCATTCTTGTTGGTCCTCGGACCACAAATGTTTGACCTGCAATAGTCCGCTCTCCACCCAAGACAACCATCTGCGGTCTTTGGCCCGAAGACTCCATGGTCTGCCCTCTGTGTCCTTAATCCAAGGATTGCAGAACGGGCTGTCTTAGGCCTTCCTCTTTGTTGCTCGGGGACCCTTTCTTTTTTGGCATCAGTCGGCGCCAGGCCTTCGGGATCGGTGACCAGTGGGGGATGGGTGTAGTCGGGGGCTGATGGGGGATTTATTGATTTATTGATTTATTTATTTTTGAATGTTTTGCATGTGCAAGTCACACATTTTTAATTAGTGTTGCAAGCCTTTTAAACTGCCAGTACTTTTGGGCAACATTTTTCCTACCCTGGAAATGCCCTCCATACCGGAGAAAAATGAACCAGCGCAGGCCTCCTTTTGGCTGGCGACCCCAGCCATTTTTCTCCGGTAGGCCGAGGCGTGAAACTTGAGGCGCATTAATGGCCGCATCTGAGAAAAATGGCCGGGATAAGTACTGGTGGTTTAATTTTGAAGTTTGACACATTATCGCTAAGGATTGAGTCTTTTTTCCCCCCTGCTTCCATTCTCCCTTCCCCCCCACTCCACTGGTAAGAATTAAAGAGAAACCCTTTTGTCTTTCAATAAAATACTAAAAATTGTGATGAAGGTGAGACAAGTGATTCACCGCTCGATGATTGTTGTATATGGGTCCAGACTCCAAAGCTGAAAGGTTATGTAGATTTCCAAAGGGTAAGGAAGAAAATGTGAAGTTTTATGAAAAAACTTCAAAAAGTCTTCTTGTTATTTTCCTTCATACCGTTGCGTAAATATGTACACTTCTCTTCCTCCCTTCTTTTGTTTTCAGCTATTCTCATTTTTCCTGTCCCTTTTTTTATTTTTAACTATCTGCACTCTGTCTTGTTATGGCATCACTTTGCCCTCCTCCTTGTCTGTCGTGCCATCATAACTTGTAATGCAATGCCACACGGAGGATGGGCAGGGGAGAGATGGACTCTGACTGAACACAGATTCAACAAATTGGGAGACAGAAGACTGAAGATGTAGAAGGCAGGGAAGGTCAGCGGTAGGGAGGAACAACCGAACTTGATTTTGGCTTTGACTGGCTTTGCGGGGTACGTATTACTGCAATAGTGCACAGGAATACTCGATTCATCGGTTGCCTTGATGTGATTTCATAACCAACGAACGGAGGAAAAGTGCTGCGCAAATTGCACCAAGCTCTTAGTTTTCAGTCTGCGGGAGGTTGAGGTTTCTGATGCAGAAAGGAAAAACTGAAACGCGAAGAAGGGTAGACATGCAGAAATTCAGAGAGGCATACTGCCACAAAGTCCACCCGAAAAGCGAATGTGGAAAACGACATGATTACCCAGGGACTTATCTGCAATATGAAACCAGAATCTCAAGACACTGGTCCTAAGAGCCCCATTGTCTAGTCCTAGGGTTATAGCAGCCCCGTTGACCGTTGCCGCCACTGTTGCTGCCACTGTTGCCATCACTGTTGCTGTCACCGTCGCTGTCTCCATTGCTGTGACCGTTGCTGTGACCGTCGCTGTGACCGTTGCTGTGACCGTTGCTGTGACCGTTGCTGTGACCGTTGCTGTGACCGTTGCTGTGACCNACCGTTGCTGTGACCGTTGCTGTGACCGTTGCTGTGACCGTTGCTGTGACCATTGCTGTGACCGTTGCTGTGACCATTGCTGTGACCGTTGCTGTGACCATTGCTGTGACCGTCGCTGTGACCGTTGCTGTGACCGTTGCTGTGACCGTTGCTGTGACCGTTGCTGTGACCGTTGCTGTGACCGTTGCTGTCACTGTTGCAGCCACTTTTGCTGTCAACATTGATGTGATCGTTGTGATGCTGTCACGATCGCTGCCATAATTGCTGTCATTGTTGATGCCACTGTTATGATCCCGCTCAAATGACAATGGGAAACCCAATTTAGGAGACGCTGCAGCCTTGAAGGGTTTCTCAACTCAGGAAGAAATGGAAAAAGCCAAAAGAGCCGAATAGAATGTAGAAGGGAAGAAAAAGGAGCGCCAACCTCATCTTCCTCGCCTCATCTCCTCGTCCTCTTATATTCGATGAATCACAAGAATACATGAATGTATGAATAAGAAATCAATGGCCGATTATTTCCCCTTACTTCCCGTGCAGAGCTCTCCTTTCAGCCTCTTCTCACTCCTCTCCTCTTGGCGGCATATCTTGCTATGGCGGAACGTCCCTGAGTACTATGGATGCTCAATGTACAATGCAACTACTACTGTATGTCTCCCATCTCATGCTGCCATGGCCACTCACCTGGATGAAGTCCGAGACCAACTGGTACCCCAACAGGGACGTGCTAGATGCAGCGCCAACCAAGGAAGTGGAGATAAAGGTCCACCATATCCAAATGCAACTGGTACCCCAACAGGGACGTTCTAGATGCAGCACCAACCAAGGAAGTGGATATGAAGGTCCACCATAGCCAAATGTAGGTCTCTCTTGTTGGTTCCCTCCTCCTTCCTCTCCCTCAACCCCTATTCTCTTCCGACCTCTCTTCATAGCATGGCTTGAGGTTCTTCTCCCTCTACCTCCTCAGCCTAGGTGTTACGGACTACGCCAGGGCTCAATCCCTGGTCTATCTTTTTGCTGTTTCTGCTGCATCCTGTTTTCGGCCTGGCACCCTTTTTTCCAAACCCCTCCTTTGGTACCGTCGGATTTTGGACAACTGGCGCCATGCTGCAATTCGGGCGCCACTTTCAAATACCGCATTTTTCAGTTCTGCCCTCGGGGCTTTTGCGGAAATGCCCCTGGTACTTTACGTGTCACCGGTACTTATACCGGCTCCCCGTACAGTACGGGGACCAGTCTTGTACCAGTTTTCAGCTGCTGTACTCGTACTCAGTGTGACTTGCTGTTTCGGCATTCGGAATCCAAGACTTGGACTTTGTGCCCTTGCCACTGTGTCTGCGTCCGACCCTCAGTCGTGTCGAGTGAGTGAGTGTGTGTGTGTGCACTCACTCTCTCCCTCTCTCTCTCCTCTCCCTCGACTCTCCCTCAGACTCGCGCTCGTCACACTAGGCCTTCTCCTTTCTACTACTACTGCTCTATAGCCATGGAGGTCTTCTTCCTCACCCTCAAGTTCCACCCCTTCAACCCAGAGCTCTCCCCCCTGCGCGAAGCAGTCAGCCTAGTTGTTGCTCCGAATGATATACTCACGACTCCTCGCCTCCTGTTGTTCCTGGCTGGGCACTCCATCCTCTACTGGTGGCACTAGGCCTAACAGAGGTTCCTGCCTTTTGGTGGGAACATCATTGCAGTCTTCAGCGCATGCTTTCCGGGCCTGTACCTAACCTGATATCTACCTAAATACGGCCCTGGGCAATCATGACCCTTTGGAAGCTATAGGACCTTTCTAGGCCTCCCAGACTTCTCTAGGCCGAGTTGCTGGGAACTCCTACCAGGTAATTGCCAAATTATACTTTTGTCTTTGTTGCCCTGGCCTTCCTACCAAATCCATCCGGTGTCCAATTTCAGTCCTATCCCTTGTGTTCTACCTATTCATTGTTCTACCCCCTCCTGAGACACAACGCACAGCACTAGAACAGAGTTAGTCCAAGAGCATATCAATCATATCGTAGAGACTAATCAGACACTCAGGCAAAACAAAACTCAGAAGGCTTCTGCAAAACAGGCCAGCAACATATTGTTTTTGCAAAATTTAGAAATCTTGGACTGCTTCTGTCACAGCCACTGGCAACGTTGCTGTCAGCTTCGACATTCCTGTGGAATGGCTCCCTGGCAAATGTCTGAGTGTGGTCGAAATTCCTATCATCATATCATGCCTTTACTGCAGCAAACATGTTCTTCTCAAAGTTGGCATTTGCATGACATCGCTCCCTGGTAGATCCTTGACTGTTGCCAACATTGTACTCATGCCTTCACTGCTGTGAACATTGGTGTCAACTCTGGCAGTCATGTGAAATCGCTCCAATTACAATAAGTGACTGGGTGTGGTCCAAATTACAGTGCTGTTATACCCTCCAAGGTTTGCAGAACGAGATGTTCTTCGCCAGACTATTGGAAGGAGATGCATCTGTTTGAGAGATCCAGAAATCCCTTTCCACATCCCAAGTCCCAAGTCCCGAGTCCCAAAGCCAAGTCAATAGATAATCTAGCAGATGCAGCTTTTCGGAGACCCGGGAATGTCTTGTCCGCAACACATGCACAGGTCAAACAAGATAGCCATAGGTTGTCAGTCAAAGAGGGCCAAACATTAGACCAGCTGTGTTGTCACAATCCACGTGGCTGCAAAGAAACCTTCAGCTTAGTATTTTGGGACCTGAGGAGGATATACAGAGGAGTTGACGGTGTGAACGAATTTCTGCAAGTCATGTGATCCCTGCACTTCTGTGTGATGATCTGCTTTTGTGCTTCTATCGTGCACGTATGTTGCAAGGGGGTTTGTTATGATCCTGACCAATTCCGAAGTGCAAATTCACAAGGAAAGACAGTGCCACCCAGTTGCAAAAGAAATGAAAGCACTTGCAAAGAGATGAAGACCAAAGAAGTAGAAAGACAAAGAAAGACAGAAGAAGAAAAGGATGTACATCAGCAAGACCAATGGCAAATCCCCCTTCTCTCTCTACTCTCCTCCTCCTCCTTCCGCCAATCTCATTCTTCACTAAATAGTAATAATGAGAACAATGAATGGTTGAGCCTGAATCAATATCTGAAGTTCCCTCTTACTGCCAGCTCAACAAGAGGTCCACCATAGCCATGACCTCCCTCTTACTTCGCACAGGTCTAGGCTATGGCGGACTACTAACGGCCTTGCCCTGACTTGCAAAAGGCAACACAAAGCAGCTATGGTTGCTGCTCTTCAGGCCGCCATGCCTGACTCTGCCTTGAAGCCTTCTTGGTGCAGCACCACCCCAACTGGGGCCTTCCAGATGCAGCGCCTAACAAGGTGACGAAGATGGTGTCCACCACAGCCAGGTAAGTGCCCCACCATTCTCGTCCTTTGCCCCCTTCTCCCTCCTCCTCAAGCTGGGCTGCTTGCCATAGCCAGGCAGAGCGCCCAGCTCTCCTCCTTCCTCCACGGCAGCGCTCTGAGAACCAGTGTCCGCTCAAGCAGAATGACGCCCAAACTTGCATACTGCATTTGAGGAGCTACTCGCTCCTCCAGGAGGTATAGCGGCCAATCAGCCTCAGGGCTGGTGACTTCCAGGCGCGTGGCCTCCAAGCAACCGGTACCTCCGCCGATTTGGAGAGAAATATCATTGCAGGCTCTGATATCGTACGCACAGACCCTAGACTCAGGCTACTTGGACTGGTACCCACCTAGACCTAGGCCTTCCGCTATTGGGCCCCTAAAAGTACTAACTTTCTGTCTTCTTCTTCTCGTCCAATCGCTACTCAACTGCTACCGGTACCGACACTACACTACTTGAGTGTGCCCTAAGCTACCCCTTTCGGCCACTTGAGTGTTTTTCCATGCTGCAACACTCAAAGTGACGGCCGCAGGTAAGTACTGGGCCCGTGGGCCTCCAAAATAAACAAGTGCCCTAGCGGGCCACACACACACTTAGGCCAACAAGCATTCAGACAGGAACACGGACCAGCAAACACGCTCACACACAGACTTAGAAACTCATCAGAATGGGGGAATCTCAGCAAGGCATACATTCCTGCGGCAAAAGTCAGAAATCAGCACAGTTCTCAGTCTGTGATTTTGCAGCTCATTACATTACCCACCTCTTAAGAGTGAGGTCCCTTTGAGCGAGTAACTCATTCAGAGTCTGTGCAAAATGCATCATATGCGTAGACTAAAAAGACTGCTTTCGTATGTTCGCAGGGAGTGAGTGATGCAGTGAATGCAGGTGTCTGGCCAACAGCTATCTGACGCTCATAAGCGTTCACAACACGAGGTGCATTCCTTAACAATTCTTTCGTATTGATCTGGTAGAATTCAGCTAACGGGTGATATAGGATAGGAAGTGAACTTGATACTGTCTGTTCCTCCCTTTTCCAATATGTGCAACAATCCAGTCAATTTTGTGACTGCCGTTGATAGCACGATGTATCATAGGTTCACGAGTTGTGAAGCTTTTGTCAACAATGTGGGAAACAATTTAGAGGCATAAAAGAAGGAATACGTGTAAAGATGAGGCGGCAAGTCGATCACATAAAAAAGACCAAAGTCATCATCCCCAACCACCTCCAGAACCTGCCAAGGACCATAGTACAGTGGACAAAGTTTTCGTGACACTCTGTCTTTTTGTGAAAACTCAGACATTTTGACCCAGGCATAACTCCTGACTTAGAATGGCGCCGATTTATGCTTTTTGTTGGCAAACTTGACCCTGGCGTGCTAACTTTTGTTCATTGCTGCGATCGCAACTTTGAGCAAGCGTTCGTACTTGGCGTTGTAGCCAAGCATGCCAGGTATCAGACCAGGTGACCGATTAGGGAAAAAGTAAGACAGAGGGTTGCGAATTTGCCAACCGTAGTATAAGTGATTCGGTGTCATCCTAGTGGCCGAGTGGATGGAGTTTTACAACCCCTTCACTGCATCCAGCTCTTTGTCCCACGTGTTTTGATTGGGAACGATTAAAGCATGAAGAAGTTTGGGTAACATTCTGGTTGATTTCCTCAGCCACTCCATTTGCTTCGGGGTGTCGACCACGTCATCCTCAGTTTGATGTCGTAGGTGAAGTCCTTCCATCTGAACTAATGAACCTGGTTTCCCGATCACTCATAAGAGTTTTCGAGGGGCCGTATTGCAGAATGTATTTCTGTTGGAACTCATCAATCACAAGATCAGTAGGTGCATGCGGTGGTAAAGGAATCATATTCAGAAACTCAAAAAATTGATCAGGAATCACCATGACTTGTAAGTGTCCGGTTTCACCT